CTTGGATTTGAGGTATGAACAGCGAGGGAAGTACATGTACTGGTTAGGTAATTCATAGTTCCGACAAATCAAACTCGTTATCCGCGCGCGCTGGATTGGCCAATCAAAATAGAGGACACGTAATGGCAGCCATGTTGTCCCACAAAAAATGTAAACAAGTCGGTTCGGAGGGCGACATTGAGGTGGTTTTGAGATGTTGCTGGGGCACTTGTAAAGCAGATGAGCGCTAGGCAGCTAGATGAAATGGAGGACGATTTATTTTGATTCCTAAGAAAAAACCTAGCCTAGAAAAATGCTTGAATTGGGTCAAAATGGATCAAAAAATCGAAAGCATTTGTATAAAGCGCGAGCGTTCGATTCCCGCGCTTTCTTCTGATTGGATAATCGCACGCTCGCGCTTGATTTGACTAAACTCGTGTCCCTTGGGGACGGCAAGCATAATGACAGAGAAATGCTCGATAAGTATTCACCATAATTTATAGAAAGCTCAAAATGGATTGTATTGGAAAAAAAAAAATCAATATCAAGATGTCAAAGCTCAAAAGAAGCCAGTACTTACCTCTACAGACTATACTACTCAAAACAAAACTGAAAAGCCGAAGGGATTCAAACTGGTGTCTTGACAAGAATAGCTAATAAGAATGAAATCATCCTCTTAAAAGTCTTCTTTACTCGATTCAATGACTTCTCTTTGAGCTCGTTTTCTGGAAAAAAAGAGCAAAAACCTGGAAATCTAGTGGAAGATGATTTTTAAGATGTAGATACTGAAAACACAAGGAATTTTGAATCAGTGTGAACTCGTTCAAATGCCAAGCTTTCTCAATGGAAACTTTCAAGCACTTCGTGGCACAAATCGTCGTCTAGTTTACTTTTGCAATTGCTCAATGCAATAACTCCTCGGTAGCTGGAAAAAGAAAAGAGAATTGAGGGACATCCACTTCGAAGAAGTAAACAAATCTACACCGGCCGCGGCGATGGAAGGTCAATCAGTGAAAATATGTGAGTAGGGCTTAAGTAATAATGTATTTGTGCATGAAAATAAACTGAATCTATGAAATAAGGAGCAAATATCCCCTGCTTTTTGCAGACAATTACTAAAAATATGATGTCCGGAGCTAAAATCAACTGTTGACTGATTGGTCAACAGTTTGCCGATTGTTGACCGCTTGGCCATTGGCGGGAAAAGGCCGCCTCGCGTCGAGTAAAAGTCTGTAAAGGCAGGAATGGTTTTTGCTGCTTTCGACTGTTTACAAAATGGAGCCGGCATCAAAACAGATTTTCAAATCTTAGTCAAGAAATAGACGAAGTGGTTGTCAACAAAGACTTGGAAAACAAAGCTACAAAGACTGCTTTGGCTACGACTCTGATAGAATTCTGCAGAGAAACCAAGAGAGAAATGACATATTTCATTCATAAAGTTTTGCTAGTTTTTTGGCATTTGTATATTTATATTAGTTTTATTTTCAAGCACAATGTAATTTAAACGCTTAACATCTTGCTATTTTGTCGCGACGGTCAAATATTATATTTACAATAAAGTATTATTCATGATTATTGAGAATCATCTTGCAATGTGTTTTGATTTTTTTTATTCACATAATTTACCAATATAACAAAGCACTTAATGACTGTTCCCTCGGGAAACGGTTAGCTTTTGTTGCCTCGAATCTCAATGTTTCCCTCGGCGTACCCCGGGAAACATTGAGATTCTCGGAAAACAAAACTAACCGTTTCCCTTGGTAACAGTCATTAAGTGTATAATAGTTGATAAAACCCCGAATATCGACCGTGGTCCATGATACGCCAAAAACTACCCCCGGCTCAAGCGAGTCAGATTGCCGGCTTTAGGGGGATCATATCATCATATTGAACGCATTGATGCAGAATATCATTATAATGTCCTTTTTTGATACGTGCTTATGCTTGACCATCAGCGTTGTATACTTTGAATACTTGGCACGATTACAAAGCGAAAGAAATCTTTTCTTTTCCGGATGTAAACATTGTTTTATAACGAAACTAGTTTTAAAGGCTAACATATGTTGTATGTAAAAGATAGGTTCTTATTGAATGAGAAATATATTATACACCGGCGAATGGTAGAAAGGTGGCATGTATTTTAATTTAATGCCAAAACAGGCCTGCCTTTTAGACAGTATGTGACCCATTTTAGTAGATATCGGTAGATCAGGCTTGATTTAAGGATATATATCTAATACCAAAGTGTATACATCTTCAAGTTCATTACTTTTGAGTCATGTTTTTTGCATGAAGATTAGTGATTATGCTAATAGTGCCATACCACCAAAATTGAAAATTCACTGCAAAATGATGCTCCTGGTTTCAGAAACTTCGCTTTCTAAAAGAGTAAGTATATGTTTAGATATGGAAATATACATCAAAACTGAAAACAACTTTGCATAAATATCTATCTATCTATATAACCATGCTGAACTGAACTCATATTAGAAATCGCTATTATTTCTATGACATGATGCTGGTTTATACCGTATGCATGACGATATGGGCTATAGGTCTGCGCTCAGGTAACTTGATTGCAAAAATGAATATTATTATATATCAATTACTGATACCATGTGATATGTTTGAGTGAGTTTCAAGTGGAGGCAGCCAATGTATCGATTTTACATCTTAAATATTTTGCTCATTTTTTTCGCATTAGCGCTGCAGGTTTTGTAGTGAGCATGTAACAAATTATTTTTTAATTATTTTTTTATTTGTCTTAGTGTTTTGTGCAATTGAATGAGCGACCTAATTGCCAGCACAAGGCGTTATAAATTGAAAAATATTTAGAAAATTTGGTTATAGAGAAACTTCCTCCAAAGCAGCTCAATTTGATCCTATCTTTTAATGACCTCCTGTCATGATATCGTTTAACTTGATGGATACATATCT